ATATGACATGCTGCCCCTTGCACCTCTCATGTATTCCTTTTCTCAGTGGAAAGGATTCAGGGATTCAGCATTTGCCTTTGTCTATCAGAAAATATGAAGTGTTGCTCATGTTTCACAGGGCTGCTGTCTCTCAAATAGAGCTTGGAGAATAACCATTTTATTTGAACCCCCCCCCCCCAAAAAAAAAAAAACCCAGCCTTTGAGGACATGCTGCCCCTTGCACCTCTCATGTATTCCTTTTCTCAGTGGAAAGGATTCAGGGATTCAGCATTTGCCTTTGTCTATCAGAAAATATGAAGTGTTGCTCATGTTTCACAGGGCTGCTGTCTCTCAAATAGAGCTTGGAGAATAACCATTTTATTTGAACCCCCCCCCCCCAAAAAAAAAAAAACCCAGCCTTTGAGTTGAACCTAAAGTGAATTTTTGAAACTTTGAGGGCAAATAGAAAAATATAAAAAATCATTTGGGGTCGAATGCAATGCTTTGCTTGATGCTAAACTTTTGCTTTCAATTTTGAACATAGATGTTTTTGAATTAACTACTGAGGTAACTGTGGGACTGCACACCTGTAGAAAACATGCCCTCCCGCTCCCGAATATTTGTGTTTTCCTGTAGAAAACGTCAGAATAATGAAGAAAGCCACATGTAGGGTTGACAGATGATTTAACAAAAATACCAAACAACCGGGAGAAAATTCTGTCGGGGGGGGAGGGGGGAGAAATGGCTCACCTGGCCCTTCCATTGCTTTGCGAAATGCACAGGATTTGAAACCCATCCCCGTCGGTCGGTTTCATCCCCATGGCGCTGGCTGGCAGTGCAAAATTCTCAACGTGGGGGTCTGTTCATTTGCCTTCTCTTTCCAGAGCCTCGAGGGGCTGGGGCCCCTCTGGACCGGCACGAGGGTTAGAATCTTCCATCCATGGCTGAAATGAGCCCAGATCCATTGATATCCTGGGGACTTTGCGGGGAACAATCCTCGTGTGACTCGTGGATGAAGCCAGGGGCTGGGAGCACCATCTCTGCGGACGCTGACGCTGCTGGCCACATAAGTAGGCCTGTTCTTGTGAGTTCCCGTCTCTTCTTGCTTTTGGTTCCTTCTCACGCCACAACAAGTGTTACAGAGAAAGACGCCGCCCCTTCCAGCTGCTGCCTGGTCCGGGCCACGCTTTGTTATTTCTGGATCTTGCTTGCACGCATGCCAGCAGCCAGCTCAGGCAACGCCGACCACAGATGGAAGCCACGGTTCAGATGCCGTTTTAGCAACAAAAGCCACAGCAGCTGGCTCAGCAGCTTAAAACCAGGCTGAGGTTGCAGCTCTGCAGAGCCTGGGGTTTTCCAGATACTTTCCACAAAAATCCTGAACATGGCAAACTTGGTTGAGCAAAAAGCAAAAATAACAACATGGGAGACCAAAGTTCTTGAGGGGGAAAAAAAAAAGTTGCTGCGTCTTTAAATAGCCCTACACGCCTCACTCCTCCACCCCCACTGGATGCAGCAGGGGAAGGCTCTCCCTGCCAGGCTTCCGTCCCAGGGAAATAGGAAATACTGGACGTTGCACATGTCCGGTATTTCCTATTTTTTTTACCAGACAGAGCCTGCAAATAGCGGACTGTCCGGATGAAAACTGGACACCTCGCAACCCTACCCATATGGGAGGAAAAGAGGTGTGGGGTGTGGTGACCATGTGTACAGTGTTGGGAAATTGGCCTCCAAACAGAGATTAGAGATGTGGGGGGAAAGAGGAGAGGAGGCACATGGACTTATGTGCCACTCCCCTCTTCCGCTTTCTGCGAGCATTGAGCTGCCTAGTTGAAAGAGGATGCATATCCATCTTGGCTCTGCTGACTGTACAGATGAATGCTTCCTCCTGTGTCCTAAAGCCACAGTGAGTGCCTGCGAGGGGGGTGGGGAAGCAGGGAGTGGGGTGGAGCAAAGAGTGGAGCAGTGAGGAATGGTCTAGATAATATAGTTAGTTGTGCCATGAGTACAGGGGACTTAACTAGATAGAAGAATAGAATCATGGAATAGAATAGTAGGACTGGAAGGGACCTTGAGAGGTCATCGAGTCCAGTCCCCTGCCCTCATGGCAAGACCCAGTACTGTCTAGACCATCCGTGATAGACATTTATCCAACCTGCTCTTAAATATCTCCAGAGATGGAGATTCCACAACCTCCCTAGGCAACTTATTCCAGTTTAGTTTAATCACCCTGACTGTTAAGAAGTTTTTCTTAATGTCCAACCTAAACCTCCTTTGATGACTTTTTGAAGTCCCTCCCATAGTCTGCTTCTGTGAAGGAGAGAGGGGAATAAAGTAAAGGATTGCCAGCTTTCTAAGTGAACTAGACCAAATGCTTTGTGCACTGTGCACTGACTGTGCTTACGGGCACCACCTCTCAGTACTCATAATTGCCATAGTTCCTGGCTAATCAGAGCTGCAGAGCAGGCTCTCAAGGAAGGGGTAATGTGTGTAGCCTCTCTGGCCTCCCCTGCACATAGGACCTGGACAAGGCAGCTGCTTAGAGCCAAGGAGGCAGGGATCCTGCCTTATCTTTGCTGCACTACCAACCAGACTTATACTAAGGTCCCTTTTCAATTGGGCATTCTGGTCAAAAACTCTGGGAGGGGAATGTAAGAGTGAGGCATAGGTGCTGGAACTAGAGTGTGTGTGTTGAGGGGCGGGGGTGCTACCACCCACTTCCCCTGCTTGAAGTGGTTTCCATTAGATAGTGTTTACAGTTTGGTTTAGTGACTCAGCACCCCTGGAATGAAGGTTAGGGGTGGAGCATAAGAAAGAAAAGGGGATAGAGGAATCGTGGTGAAGCAGAAGCCAAGCTTGTGGTGTCCCTTCATCATCAGCTTGGGGCTCCCCCAATAAGCAGGCCATACCATGATAAGCCCTACCCTCCTTCTCCTGGACCTCTCACTCCCAGACCCTCACTTTACTGGGCCCCAACCAGCTGAATCTAGGTACCCACATCATCAATTTCCATTCCCGCAGCACCTAATTCCCCCTGCTGAGCCCCAACCACCTTCACCTCAATTCCCTGCAGAGTTCCATTGCCCTTGCATCTAGACCCTCCCAATGAGCCCCTGTGCATTAAGATCTCCCACCAAGCTGCCTGCAACCCAGACTTCCCCATGGAGAAACCTCTCACTCCACTCCTGGATGTCCCCACTAAGCCCCTTCACACTTGGATACTGCTGGGCTCACTCTGTTCACCCATATCTGGTGTGCCTGGGGCAGAAGCAAAAGAAAGGACTATGCAGCACTTTAAAGACTAACAAGATGGTTTATTAGGTGGTGAGCTTTCATGGGCTGGACCCACTTCCTCAGATCAAATTCTGGAAGAGAGTTGGCATGACCATACAGGCAGTCCCCGGTTAACGTACAAGATAGGGACTGTAGGTTTATTCTTAAGTTGAATCTGTATGTACGTCGGAACTGGTGTCCAGATTCAGCCTGTTAAAACTGATCAGAGGCTGATTCCAGGAAGCCCGGGGCAGAGCAACTCTGCCTCGGGCTTCCTGTAGTCAGCCGCTGGTCAGTTTCAGCAGCGGCTGACTTGGGGATGCCTGGGGCAGAGCAGCTGAGATGCTGCCGGGTTGGGCCAGTAGCGCCCAGAGCGGGGCTGCGGGACCAATCGGCAGCGCCCCAGCTGCTCTACCACAGGCGTCCGGAGAAAAGCTTGGTCGCTGGGGGCTGTGGGGGCATACTAGCTGCACACCTCCCCCCCCCAGCAGACCAGGGAGACGGGGAGCAAAGCCTCTGAGGACGCCGGCAGCGGGACAGCCGCGGGACAGCCTGGAGACCAGCAGACCAGGGAGACGGGGAGCAAAGCCTCTGAGGACGCCGGCAGCGGGACAGCCGCGGGACAGCCTGGAGACCAGCAGACCAGGGAGACGGGGAGCAAAGCCTCTGAGGACGCCGGCAGCGGGACAGCCGCGGGACAGCCTGGAGACCAGCAGACCAGGGAGACGGGGAGCAAAGCCTCTGAGGACGCCGGCAGCGGGACAGCCGCGGGACAGCCTGGAGACCAGCAGACCAGGGAGACGGGGAGCAAAGCCTCTGAGGACGCCGGCAGCGGGACAGCCGCGGGACAGCCTGGAGACCAGCAGACCAGGGAGACGGGGAGCAAAGCCTCTGAGGACGCCGGCAGCGGGACAGCCGCGGGACAGCCTGGAGACCAGCAGACCAGGGAGACGGGCAGCAAACCCCGTTCGTAACTGTGGATCCGACATAAGTCGGATCCGCGTAACTCGGGGACTGCCTTTATACACCAAAGGAATACAATGGAAAAATAAGTGAACACATTATACAACTGACAAATCAGATTTAGAACAGAAGGGGGCTAAGGGGAGAGGGCTAGTATCTATGAGATAATGATACCGGGGTGATAATTGGGGAAGCTATCTTTGTAATGGGTAAGGTAAGCAGAGGAGCAGGGCCCTGGGGTGTTTCTAGGGCAGGCCTAGCCCTTGCACTGTGTCAGGTCAGGTGCAGCTTCACTGCTGAGTCCCTGTGCTGGGAGAGGTGTGAGTCCTGTGCTCTCCCCTGCCATGATGGAGCCATGTTCATTGACAAAATTTGCAGAATTTTAAATTATTGTATACATACATTTTAATTTTTTGATGCAGACTTTTTAGGTGCAGAATTCCCTCAGGAGTGGAATTTGCTGAATAAAATTAAATGACGTTTCAAAACCCAAACTTATTCCAAACTGAAAATGTGTAGCATTTTGTTTGTAAAATATAAAAATGTTTTGAATTTCATTTATTTTCTGAAACAGTTTGAGGAAACTGATATCAGTTTGTAAACTGACATGAAGTTGTTATTGAATCTGCATTTTTTGCCCAAAAAGAGTTTCTGTTGAAACATTTAATTTAGCCCTAATCACAATTGTGCATGAACTGACAAGTACATGGAGAAAACTACATGTATAATGCTATGTGGGGTTGATTCATGAATGTTTCCTGATCTTAAGTTTTTATTAGAGTCAAAGCAGTGAAAAGAAGAAGTGTGTGAACACTAAATGATATTTTAATGCTTCAAAGCTTTCTGCCAAAGAGATATTAAGTTAAGTGTTGTGGAAGTTAATTTCATGTTGCGGGGCTAAGGGAGGTGGATATGGTAGGCCAGGCGGGAGTGCTCTGGCACTGTTGAGCCTCCCTTTCTCCTCCCCTCCCTCCACCCCGTGAGGTTTTGGGGGTCAAATTCGTACTTTCTTATGCCCTTTTATGGCCAGCTTTCAGCTTCTTTTGGGCCAAGAGTTTTTCCTATTTATGAATCTCAGACTGTAATCTGACATAGATTATGCTTGGATAAATCCAGGTGAATTGCCAGTTGTAATTTTTTTGAGGATTTTGCAATTGTGAAAGCTTATGTCCTTATAAAAATATTGTAATAAAATGTATATTTAGTTAAACTGACATGTTTAAATGATCTGTCTTACACATTTTTTTTTCAATTAGGCAGACGATCTATTCTTTCTGCAGCTTATGTGGACAGTTCAAAATGGGACGAAAGAGAAAAAGAGGTGCACAGTTTGGGTAAGAAAAGAGTTATTTTACATTTACTCATCTTGACTAACTGAAAATGCTAAAATCACTATGAAACAGGTAATATGGTTACATTTTGTAGTTCTTTACACTAAGTATCATTTTACTCCTAAAATACTAAGATTGACTAAGAGGATCAGAATCCAGTCCTGCAATTTAAAATATCTTCTTTGTTTATACTGTTTATCCTGAACAAAAACATGCAGATATTTCCCCCCAAAAGTAGACTTTATACCTTTCTTTAAAATGAGAAAATATCTTTTCTGTGAATCAGTTGCTTTCTTCATAAAATATACAGATTCTATTAATGTAATTTTTTGTTTTAATCTAAGAAGTGCCCATTCTGGGTTCTGATATCAGACTTTAAAATGCAGTCTTTCTGTGCTACTCACAATAAAAAAGATGATGTTAGATGTACAAGACGTCATTTTGTAAACTATTGGAGGATAATTCTCGCTTTCAAAAATACTGTCTAAAATCTCAGTGTCTGCTAAAATATTTTCTGAAACGTTTTGATTGTCTATGAGGAAAATTGAAATTCTTATCTTAATGTTGAATCAGCTCAAAACTATCCATTGTGGTGCTTGCATTATCTCCTGTAGACCAAGCTCCTTGGCTGGACTATACCTCCCATCAAGCATAGACCCACTGAAGGGGGGACCAAGGAGGCAACTGCCCAGGGCTCCTGGCAGCCATCACCACTACTGCAGCAGCGGCAATGGCCAGAGCCCTGGGCTCTTTAAATCACCGCCAGAGCACCATGCTCTGGGGAGCTCTCAGAGCTGCCTGGAGGCTTTTGGGAACTGCATGGCCTATCATAGTAGTTTTATGGCCAGCTTTCAGCTTCTTTTGGGCAAAGGGTTTTTCCTAATCATGAATCTCAGACTGTAATCTGACATAGATTATGCATGGATAAATCCAGGTGAATTGCCAGTTAGTGCCAGTTGTCATTTTTTTGAGGATTTTGCAATTGTGGAAGCTTGAGTTGGGGGGAGGAAAGGTACTAAAGTATCCAGTTGGTTTTCTTGACCATGCAAGAGGATATTGTGATGGGCTGGATCACAGTAATCCCCTTGGGATTGTCACCTGGTGTATTAGTCATGCCATTGAGCCCTCCAGCCTGCCCTCTGAAGCACCCCATCACCCTGTCTGGTCTATCCCAGCCAAGATAAAGAATTGGAATACAGCCTGAAAGAGGACCAAATCCCAAGTAAATCCATTTTACTCTGTATAAAAGTTTTGCACACAGAAAGTGTATACATTTGCCCTTTTTATTGATGAAAGAGAGGTGCACAGTGGTTGCTTCTTCCTTCCCTCCATGTAACAGTTATTTACACTGGGCTTGATAATAAATAAAAGTGGTTTTATTAAGTATAAAAAGTAGGATTTAAGTCAGCAATGGACAACCTAGGCTAGCAAGTGGGCTGCATAAGTTGCCGCCTTTCGTCTAAGTGGACCATAAGACTGTTGTAACCAAGATGGTCTCCTGGGATTCTTACACAAGGTAACGTGAATGTATTAATTTAGAATGCCAATTAGGCTAATTAAAAAGTACGAAGATTACAAGGGCAACTCCAGATATGTTTCTATCACTGTTTGAGTGCTCTTTACCTCTGGACGAGGCGCGTCAATGAAAACTTAACACTTTAGATAGATTTTAAAACCACAAGGCTATATTATCTTATCGCAAATAATCAACAAAGATTAATCCCCACAAAACAGTAGGGGGTTTACCAGAGTCACTGGCTCTAGGGACGATTGATGTGGTGCTGGCGACCTCAATCCGTTGGCTCTTCTGAGCCTCAGGAGAGGAACAACAGAAGTCACTTGGTGGTAGTCGGCGCCGAAGCTGGCGACCTCAATCCTTGGGTCCTTCCGGGCCCTCAGAGAGGAACAGCCAGGAGTCTCTCGAAGCGCTGGAATCAGGTGTGAAGTGTTCACCTTCCGTGAAGACCTCGTCCTCTTCCTGCACTTCGGCGCAGCTGGAACTGGCGATGGAAGCTAAAACCCTGACTACTGTGCCTTAAACTATTCTAAAACAAAACCCTAAGTAAATCGCAACGCACCCGCCGAACAAGCTCGACAATGGGCGACATGCGTGGACCGACGCGAACCTGACGAACAGTCATGATCTATCTACCACTAAACTAACTAAACCTAAAAAGAGAGAGACACAAGCCTTCTCCTTGGTCTACTCCTTAACTTAACTAATTTACTCTAATCACTCATTGGGGGACAATAACGCATCCAATCACACGTCTCATGCAACCTAGTGTATCCTAAGCCTATCCCGACGACCCGACGCGACAATGCCAACAAGTGTGTCACAGGCTTTTATAGACTAGTCTCATACATATGCATGAGGGCTTCATTTTAAAATGATTGGTTGGTACAAGATGCGCATTAGCATAAATTTAAAACAATTGGTTCTTAAACATATTAATTACTTATTCATGACATAATGTTCTCCTTATGAATATTCATTGAGCCAACAGACTAGACTCATGAATATTCATTTACAGTTGAAATTTGAAATGTACACCAGTCAGTTGACAGTCATGATGACTCAGCAATGTCTATGATGACATATGCCTATCTTATCTTATACAGGCACATTATCAATTAATATTAGTTAGAGGTGTTCATTAAGATGTTATCACAAGCACTCATTAAATATACAATTCTGTTAACCTTTCTAACAGGATAGGCTAGTTCTGTTAACTGTACTTGCGTAACTAGAATTGGCAGGGTGTGCTGATTGAACTGCAGCAGTGCATTGACTAGATGCAGAGGGAGCACATGGCTCTTACAGTCAATGTTGTATGCAATCAGCATGCATCCCACTTCGCATGTCCTTGCTTTATGTGCGTGTCACTTTAGTAATACTGGCAGGAAAAAAACTACATGGACAGAAACCAGTGGAATCTGGCAACCTGGCATGTGGGCAATGACAGAAAAATTGCTTGCAGGCCACACATAGATCTTCAATGGGTCATATGTGGCCCTTGGGCCACAGGTTGCCCACCCTGGTTTAAGTGATTGCAAGTGAAAACAGAGACAGAACAAAGTAAGTTACTAAGCCAAGATAAAACATGCCAGCTAATCCTAATATACTAGGAAACTTATTGCATCAAATTCTTGCCTCACAGCCTTCTACCTTAGACTCAGTCGTTCGCACTGTTCAGTCCTAGATGTTTCCGGCAGACATCTTGTATGGTTAGTGGGGGTCTCCTGGCTTTTGAATACCCATTGACCTCAGTGAGACTTGGGGGTGGGGGAGAGCCCCTCCTGCGGTCAGACAATATCTTATTCCTTGGGCTGCTGAACAGGACCTTTCCACTGCCATAGAAATGCTGGAGCAATGTGGTCTCATTGAACCTTCAACTTCATAAGAACGGCCGTACTGGGTCAGACCAAAGGTCCATCTAGCCCAGTATCCGGTCTACCGACAGTGGCCAGCACCAGGTGCCCCAGAGAGGGTGGACCGAAGACAACGATCAAGCGATTTGTCTCCTGCCATCCCTCTCCAGCCTCTGACAGACAGAGGCCAAGGACACCATTTTATCCCCTGGCTAATAGCCTTTTATGGACCTAACCTCCATGAAATTATCTAGCTTCTCTTTAAACTCTATTAAACTTCCTGTGCCAATGCCCCAGCATGGCCCATATGTAAACCTGGTGGGTCCTGGAGGTTAACCATTGACTAATGGGAACTAAACTGTGTCACTTCAGTCCTTGCTGATTTGGTAGCCAGGGGTGGGTATAATTGTAGACTTGAGGCAAAACCCACCACTGAAACTGTGATCCCTGCCAAGTAAAGGCAGTTTTCCGTCAGCTTCCAGAGGCCAGAGGAATAGACAAAAAGCTGTTAGAAACATCCAGCACTGAGAACCATCGGTCTCCTGGCTAGATTCAGGCAATCATTTCAGAGAGGCCGGCTACCAAATCAGAAAGGAGGGAAGTGACACAATTTAGTTCCCTTATCCTGTGTTAGCTGTCTGGCTGCTCCGAGGGTGAGCGGGGGGAGGGGAGGGCGGGACTCAAGTCCCCAACCCTGCACTCTCCAGACAAATGCCATAGTCCCCAGTCCACTCAAAAACCCAGAGCACATCCCAGTAGTCTCAGGACCCACCAGGTTGCCTGTAAGCTGCGCAGATGTTTACTGAGCCCCTCTCAGAGGTTCAAAGCTCCTGAACAGGCAGGGAGCTCAGCTGACTGGCAGGGTGAGGGACATTTAGCTAAGCAGCAGCTAAACAGAGCTAGAGTACAGTCCGGATTATCCGACCTTCGCTTATCCGACCTTCCGGTTTATCCGACATAGCCATTCAACATGCTATTTATATGTCCATGCGTCGCATACCGCCATGGCCGTAGCTTCGTTTGTTCCTTTGCACCACTGATTTATGTTTGTTCTGTGATTGTGTTTCATTTTTCCAATTGCATTTTCCCCTTAGTGTAATATAATTTTATTGTTTGAGGAACATGGCATGTGAGAGAAAAAGTGGTTCTTTCCATTGAACAAAAACTCGAAGCATTAAAGAGAATAGACAAAGGCGAGTCCATGCTAAAAATTGCATCCGAACTCAGTGTGGGGCGACTTACAGTTGGTGACTGGAATAGAGGAAAAGAAGTGAGTTAGAAAAGTGGTGCTCTGATCGACTTTCAGGTGCAGGACTGAAGGACAGAAAAACAATGAAAAAATGTGAATATGAAAATGTGAGTGAAGTTTCATTCTTATGGTTCACACAGCAAAGGGATAAGGACATGCCTATCACAGGCTCTGAGTTTCCAAAAGGAATTTAATGAAGGGGAACCTGATTTCATGGCTAGTTGGAAAAAAAGATACAGGTTAAGGCAGCTCAGTATATGTGGCGAAAAATTATAGGCAAATCAGGAAGGGTTTCTGAAATTTAAAGCAAATTTTCATTGTCTCATCAAAAATGAAGGATTATCATGTGAGCAGATATATAACTGTGATAAGATAGGCTTAA